GGGGATTTAGTATCTGGTGGTATTTAGGTTCACGGTCCACACTCCACTACAGTAGGGGGCGGTAATGCACCTTTACGTTGCGTGACAACCGCCATACAACTTAGAAGTAGTAGTAGAAGAAGAAGGTGGCTGGAAAAACATGTGTGCTGCTCCCGTCACAAGTTCTCTGTCTAAACTACAGTCTTTACACGGACTTTTAGCGATACATAAAAAACAAGGACCGACTTCTGCTGACGTGTTGAATGCCTTCAAAGAAGCCTTATACAGAGGTAATTCACCAAAAAGCACGGCTTTTGCTCTGAAAATAAATACAATCAGATGTTCTGTCTGTTTATTCTTCAGAAGCGGGTGTCGAATGCACAAACCCGCGGAAGAGGAGGAAACAGAGTCTGAAGATGGGTCACGGAGGAACCCTGGACAGTTCAGCCAGTGGGGTGCTGGGTAAGCTCAGCCTGGTTGTACAATCAGTAAGCTCGTGTGTAAAACCAAAAGCTGTCATCAGTGCAGTTTGATGAACGCATGTAAACTTGCTGTGTACAATTCAAGCTGGAGTTAAAAGCTAATCTGGGAGGAAAGCTTGCTGTTGGTTAAGCAGCTGGGTGATTGTCTGAATTTGGAGCACTTTGGGGTTTGGGGTTGCTAAAAACCAAACCACACAGAATTATGTTTCTGAACATTGCAGGACTATTTGAACCTCTGAGAAACTGTTTACCCACCTTAGGCATGCAGACATTGTTAGGGATATCTTTGTTATCTAAGTCGTTTTAAACTCAACCCCTTAATGGGACAGTTTGATTCCAGTATACTTATAAAAGATATTCAAACAGCTTTTGGAATAAACTTGGTGATCACTTGTCACTTTAGAAAAATAACATGGTGTATACATTGTTTTTAAGTAAAATAACTTCAATGCCAAGTAGGATAAGTCAGCTTACTATAAAAACAGTCTTTATAGATTAAGAAAACTTGTTTAAAATAAACACCAGTTTAGACTTTTGTATATTTTCAACTTATTCCATAAACCTAGTATGCAGATCAACTAACCTATTTAACTTGAGCCATTTTCTCAAGTACCCCCTTAGTCAAATGTGTGGATGATTCTTCAAAAGCATGACAGACAACTGATTATTAAATGAGAATAATTTCATTAAAACTCAATAATGCTGAACCACATCTCACCCCCTTTCTGGCTTGTGAAATCTTTAAAGGCCCAGTGTGCAAAATTTTTACTTGTTTACCATCAAATTGTGTGTTTCCATTCCCACATCAGTCCTTTTTCATCACCAAGCCCATCCCTACAGACGGAAACAAATATTTTTATGGAATATGACATTTTGTTGAATACCTTTTACATTCTATTAACAATTTATTAAAAGTAACCACCTACAAATCGTTACAACAGGGAGCGTAGCGCCGCGTCCCAGAAGTGCAGAGGCACTAAAGATAGGCGCTAGTTCTATTTCAATGCCGAAAAGCCGCTGTTTGCAACAGACATTATGACGCGGAACAGCTTTACGGCACAAACCCAACCACAGTATTGATAACTTTAAAGTACAATTGATCTTAAAATATTCTAATAAATAGCATACTTACCTATTTTAAATGAATTAGAGTCTCTCAAACATGATGGCAAGTCTGATCACGTAAAAACAAAAGAGTCACTTTCCGCTTCCTGTTCTCGAGTCCCGCGTGTTGTTGTGACTATTGCACGATTTTCCAATAAGCGGTCAGCGGCGCCACGCATTCTGTGTAACCACTTGACTTCTGAAAACCGTGGCGCTTCTATGGCGCATCTGTCTCCAGTGTGCCCCAGGCTTTACACACAAATTCTGTACATGTTGTCTGGTCATCTGTACTTCCTGTCTCAGGTTGGACAGCTCATGCTTCATTTCAGTGAGAAAATCCATCAATAGTTTGTCACGGTCTGCAGCCATCTTGAGTAACGGATGCCACAAACCCCTTACTTTGGGATGAATTAGTGTCACTGTGATTAACCAGTAAAAAGCATGTAGGGAAAGCAGTTGGATCAAATCACGCCAAAGTGGGCTGAATAGGTTAAAAGAGCAGAATAGAGGAAGGATGATGTCACTTCCATCTTGTTGTTATGGTGAAGCTCTAAAATGGAGTTTGGTTCAAAGAAGGTGGACCTTCTAAATGAATGGCTTCAAGCACAACGGTTAGATTCACCAAAATGTACCCCAAAGGGCTTTTAAATTACAAGTGCTGGCCAGTAAATTAGAATATCATCAAAAGGTTGAAAATATTTCAGTAATTCCATTCAAAACGTGAAACTTGTACATTATATTCATGCAATGCACACAGACCAATGTATTTCCGATGTTTATTACGTTTAATTTTGATATTTATAGGTGACAACCAATGAAAACATCAAATCTGGTATCTCAGAAAATTAGAATATTCTAAAGGCCAATGAAAAAATGTTTGTTTCTCTAATGTTGGCCAACTGAAAAGAATGAACATGAAAAGAATGTGCATGTATAGCACTCAATACTTAGTCGGGGCTCCTTTTGCCTCAATAACTGCAGTAATGCGGCGTGGCATGGACTCGATCAGTCTGTGGCACTGCTCAGGTGTTATGAGAGCCCAGGTTGCTCTGATAGTCGTCTTCAGCTCCTCTGCATTGTTGGGTCTAGCGTATTGCATCCTCCGCTTCACAATACCCCATAGATTTTCTATGGGGTTAAGGTCAGGCGAGTTTGCTGGCCAATCAAGGACAGGGATACCATGGTCCTTGAACCAGGTGCTGGTGGTTTTGGCACTGTGTGCAGGTGCCAAGTCCTGTTGAAAGGTGAAGTCTGCATCCCCATAAAGTTGGTCAGCAGCAGGAAGCATGAAGTGCTCTAAAACTTCCTGGTAGACGGCTGCATTGACCCTGGACCTCAGGAAACAGAGTGGGCCAACACCGGCAGATGACATGGCACCCCACACCATCACTGACGGTGGAAACTTTACACTGGACCTCATGCAACGTGGATTCTGTGCTTCTCCGCTCTTCCTCCAGACTCTGGGTCCTTGATTTCCAAAGGAAATGCAGAACTTGCTTTCATCAGAAAACATAACTTTGGACCACTCAGCATCAGTCCAGTCCTTTTTGTCCTTGGCCCAGGCGAGACGCTTCTTGCGCTGTTTCTTGTTCAAGAGTGGCTTGACACACGGAATGCGACACCTGAATCCCATGTCTTTCATGAGTCTCCTCGTGGTGGTTCTTGAAGCGCTGACTCCAGCTGCAGTCCACTCTTTGTGGATCTCCCCCACATTTTTGAATGGGTTTGTCGTCACAATTCTCTGCAGGGTGCGGTTATCCCTAGAGCTTGTACACTTTTTTCTACCACATTTTTTCCGTCCCTTCGCCTGTCTGTTAATGTGCTTGGACACAGAGCTCTGCGAACAGCCAGCTTCTTTAGCAATCACCTTTTGTGTCTTGCCCTATTTGGACAGCTGTTAAGTCAGAAGTCTTCCCCATGATTGTGGTGCCTTCAAAACAAGACTGAGGGACCTTTTAAAGGCCTTTGCAGGTGTTTTGAGTAAATCAGCTGATTAGAGTGGCAGCAGGTGTCTTCTATATTCAGCCTTTTCAGAATATTCTAATTTTTTGAGATACCAAATTTGGAGTTTTCATTAGTTGTCACTTATGAATATCAAATTTAAATGTAATGAACATTGGAAATACATTGGTCTGTGTGCATTGCATGAATATAATGTACAAGTTTCACGTTTTGAATGGAATTACTGAAATATTTTCAACCTTTTGATGATATTCTAATTTACTGGCCAGCACTTGTACCTTGCAATTTGTTGCCGTGGTAGCTGGCAAATAAAGACACTTTGAATAAAGAAATTCAGCTGCATTTATCTCCACAGAGCTTAATGTTTAGCGATGCTAATGTCGTAGCTGGTTTGGTTTATATTTGGTATATATCGTCTATATGTCGGAAAAATGCTTGCTCACAGAATGTGCCCATCTAAGGGTTGCGTCGTAGAAGTCTTCCATATTTAAAAGCTAGAATTTAGTCGAAAGCTTAACTCCTGGAAAAACGTGGTGAAACGCACACTCAGGTTCAGTCCAATGAGACGGGACTCTGCTCCAGACGATGAGTGTCTGGAATCACAAACCGTGATAACGGTTGCTTCAGCCGGAATGAAAACGCTGATTGATCAGATCTGGTTAAAGTAGCTTGATTTAGCATCAGTTTCCAAGCGTTCTCGGTCCAAGTTACACAGACTACAAAGAGTTTGAAATTTTTATGCTCACGATTGCCCCCCGGTTCCTACTTTGATTCACAGAAAGCCTCCGGCTTTCCTTGAAAGCATCAACCCTTTTCCCTCTATTACTATTTTGTTAGTTAAAATTATTAAATAGTATTTATTTAGTAGATTAAAATGAACCAAATTGCTTTGATGTGTAAAATAAATTCTAAAAGTATAAAAAAGAAGAAGAAAATATCATTTCTATAGCGCCTCTCAAGATAAGAATCATGAGGCGCTTCACAAAAACAAAAAATAAAAAAATTGTAAAAATATAAAAAAGCATTTCGAAAATGTTTAAAATATATTTAAAATGAGCAAGAATAAGCAATTGCGATTTAAAAGATAAAATGTTAAGAAAGAGAGAGAGTGAATGGGAAAGAGGGAAATCAGTGGATCCTGAGGAAGGTGGAATAGGTGGCGAGAGCAGAATAAAGAGAGAGTGGTGAAGAAGGTCATCCTAAAGCCAGCTTGAACAAGTGAGTCTTCAGCTGCTTTTTGAAGGAGTCCACTGAGTCCACTGATCTCAGGCTCAGGGGGAGAGAGTTCCAAAGTCTCGGGGCCACAGCAGCAAATGATCTGTCACCTTTGGTCTTTAGCCTGGTGCGCTGCACAACCAGTAGGCTTTGATCGCTGGACCTCAGGGACCTGCTGGGGGTGTAGGGACTAAGAAGGCCACCATTGTAAGATGGTGCTTGTCCATGTAGGGCCCTATAGACCAGAACCAGGATCTTGAAATGAACCCTGGAGTTGACTGGCAGCCAGTGAAGCTGGAGGAGAAGCGGGGTGATGTGGGTGTGTTTGGAGGACTTGGTCAAAAGCCGAGCACAGGCATTCTGAACCACCTGTAGACGGTTCAGGGAGGTTCTGCTCAGACACGTGAAAAGAGAGTTACAGTAGTCTAAGCGTGAGGAGATGAAGGTGTGGGGAACTGTCAAGTTCAGAGCAGGACAGAATGGGACTCAGCTTAGCAACGTTCCTGAGATGGAAAAAGGAAGAGCGAACAAGAGAACTGACATGAGAATCCAGGGTGAGAGCTGGGTCAAAGGTCACGCCAAGATTCCTGACGGAAGGTTTGGTGTGGGAAGCAAGCTGACCAAGAGAGTCTCTGACTTTGGGAACCAGCTTGTCTGGGGCACAGATGAGGATCTCAGTCTTATCTTCATTCAGCTGAA